TTTACCTTGGAACATACTTCATACACCAAAAATCTCAAGTTTTGTGTCAAATCTGGCATTAGAGTAACATAAAAAATGTAACAAGCCTAAGCTGAAACTTACCAAATATGTAAACAGTTTTGCTGTCCATGTTCTCCTGTATTAAGCTCAACAATGATAAAACTATGACGACAATCTAAATAAAAAGGATTTTTTTTTCCTCTTGGATACTAAGAGTTCACAGTTTCAGAAAACACTGTGGAAGCAGAAGTTTGTAGATAGCTTCTCAACTGTAGTATTTACTTAAAACAATACAGAATTGAAGTATTAAACGTGGGTCTCCTCAAACTAAGTGGAAAGTAGCTGCCTCCACAGATTGTCAGGCAAGTATATTAAGCTGTTTTATATTGAAAAGAATATTGAAGAAACACACAGATATATGTGCTCAGATACTGCAATAGGACTTACCTACAAATGAAGTATTCTTGAATTTGAAGTAAAAATAAACACTGCATGCAAAGACATCTTTTAAAGTTTAAAATTACACACCACTGAAAGCGTATCTTACATTAAAAAAAATCCTTTTCATACAGTGCCTTAGTTTTCAGTATTATTTTAATTACAGTTTTCAACTTATAAAAATAAACCTAAGGTACAGGCTCAAAACTTTTTTCCGTTTACATACATTAGCAAACAAAATTAAGTTTTAGATTCTCTTTAGGTAGTAACAGTATCTACAAATTTCAACTGCCCACGGTCCAGTCTGCTGAGAAAACCACATCTTTCTGAGCTAAGTGCCTACATTACTTTAGCCATTTACAGGTCTCAGCATTTGTGTCACTAAGTCCAACCTTCACTTTTGAAATTATGGTAACACCAAAGGCAATAATCAATTACTATAAAATTAGAAGTACACCAAGTGGCAGGCAGTACCCATAATCTGCTCCAGTTTGCAAGTCATTGTTCAGAATTCACAGATGAGCTGTTTTACTGCTATAATGCAATTTTCACACTAACAATTACAAAATTCAAGATCATTTTTGTCTGATGGCAATCTTTTTCCCCTAAGTGAATGGCTAGCAAAATTAAAATACATGATTTGATTACAAACTAACAAAAAGACAGTGATGCAGAGATGCTTCAGTCCTAGAAGAAAATACTTATCAATCACTACGGCATTACTGCTTGCAACAGTCATACACATGAATGAAAAAAGTAGAGAGTCATAAGGTCAGGTATAAAGTATAAAATTCTATCACACAAAGCAGCCTTTACTTATTATCTCTTCCTCAGACCAAAAGAAAATCGCAGAAATCCCTAGATCTAGTAACTATTACAAAAATACCAGTACATGCTGAAGGCAACAGAGAAGCTACTTTGTCACAAATATTTGCAGTTTCCAAGTTATTTCAGGTATTGCCTTAGATGTAACTGGCCCAGGGAACACTAGCAAGCAATGCAAGCCATGCTACAGGCTATGGAATTCACCTTCTCCACAGCAGAGGAAACACACTCAAGCCACCATAGTGCGTTTCAGAATCCAAGCTGTGCACAGGTTGCTGCTGTTAGCCAGATAACTCAAAGCTAGTTCAGATGCATCTATCTGAAATTGCCATCAAAAAAGAGCATGTGAGTAATGAGTAGGCAAAACCTACATCTTGCTGATTTCTTAGGTACTCTTCATGTTTCTAGATTCCAAGTGAAGTGCTTTTGCCCTAACAATATGCTTTATATATCAAACTAATAATGTTTGCAATCAAAATTTCATCCCTCACACTGTGTAAACCTATTGACTTTGATGAGCTTATCTAAGTCACAGCCACCTCTACTTTGAGCTTGAAATCCTGCTTCAGCCACCAGCCTTCTATCTTCTTTCAAAATCCTAAGAAAAATCCTGTTACCCAGAAACACTGCTGTGAAATAACTGTAGCCATTAACAGAAGCTTACACATACGTGCTTTACATGTCCTTAGCAAAATGGCTAATCATTTTTCTAAGCAATTATGCATCATATTTTCAAATAAAGGCTGACACAAATGAAATTACATTTAAAACAATAAAACTATCATGAACTACACTGCTCTGAAAACATCACTCCATGTAATCTCATTTATGAAGTGCAAAACCAAGCAATCTACCATGGCAGCTCAGCATGCAAACCAGTTAACGATGAAGGCAACTCCAGTGGAGTATGAACACGTTTAATGGATGATGCACACAGTCCTGCTGGAGCAAGGAGAGACTTCATTACTGTGCTACACTACCAGTTTGAAAATGAGCAATTCTCTGCAGAAACAGGCATTTTACAGAATAGTCATTTTCTACTAGTGGCTTTTTAGGAAGAGGGGAACTCCGAAATGCCTAATACGAATAGACAGAACCCTACAGATCTGCACAGTATTTACAAAGTAAACCCAGAAAATACAGCATTTGTAAGAAATTATGACTTGAAGTGGGGAGGAAATGTCTGTGTTTGATGGTTGGTTGTTTTGGGGTTTTGCCTTTAAAACAAAACAAATAAAAGCCTTTTTTGTAAGGGAATTATTAATTCACGAACAATATAACAGTGTCGTGCCCATGGACTTAATATGGGATAAGTTAGAAAATAAGGCCTTAACTATTAATTTCCAAAGGTATGTTTCTTAGCTAACTGTACACAATCCTTTATATATTTTGCAACAGATTTATAATGAACATGCAATTTCAGGATAACAAAAATCAAGAAATCAAACTAGTATGAGCTAAAACATGATACACTGCAAGAATTGTAATTCCTCCCAAAGGAGAAACCCAGTTTTTCAAAGATACTAGGGTGCATTTATATTTTCACTGGTATCCACATTTCTAATTAAAGAAGCTGCATGAATGAGACCAGATCAACTAAAAATATTCCTTTAATAAGTATGTACTAGCAGAAACTTCCCTCTAAAATACTTGATTTTATTAACGAAATGGTACCAAAGATAACAAGTATACAAACAATCTCTTTGCTCTATGCTACTTACACATCATAAATAAGACAGCTGTTGTTGCAAGACACAATCCTTCATAGTCTTCTTGTAAGGATACAGATTTGTCACTCTTTTATCAGAATAAGCTGTTTACCAGCCAACAGCACAAAAACGACTGTCTATACTTTACATGGTAAAGCATCTTCTATAGTCTGAAATGTACACAGTGGCAAGAACATTAAATCCTACTGAGAATGAAAAGTGATTAAGCAGCTTCACAATCAAACTGGGTTTCACTACCTAGGAATTGGGCAAACTTTTCTCTCCCTGTAATATGCTTTTTTTCTCTTTCTTCTTTTTGGAAGAATTAACTATTCAAAGGAGAAGAAAAACAAATTGAAAGCAAGTAGCTAAAATGCTATCGGGTTTTTTCCCAACTGAAAGAAATAACTCTTCCCATGAGGTAAGGCAATTAAGTAATTTGATTGTTTTAAGTTGTATTAAAAATACTAAGTTTTAAAGGAATGACTCTTAAGAAATCTCATGTAACCAATTAAATTAGTTCTGAGAAAACAAGCCATGTTTTACCTTGACAAAAATATTTGCTTTGTCATATTCTCTTAAGTGCTTTCTCCTCAAAGACTGAAAAAAAAAAAATCTCTACCATATAACTCCAGTGTAAATTAGAATTTTTTCCCCCAAATTATTTTCCCCTCTTCTTTACATACAATTCCTTTTGTATCACCCAACAGGTATAAGAGAAGATGATGGAGAGGTAATAATTAAGGCCATCCAAACGTAGATTAAATGTCTATAAAGGGCTGTCTTTAATGCAGGTGATCAGAAAATGCTTTGTATTCAGCTACTACTTTTGTACTGTTGTGGTCCCCAAACTGCATCTTTGCTTTTATCTATAAATCTCTTAAAAAGAAAAAAAAAAAAATAAAATCGAGCTTTAGTATTTTAACAAGTGAATACAGCAACCATTCTGACAAATCACTTGCATTCTTGTCTACAGTATGGTGGTGGCAAAACAGCAATAGAGATCGTGTAAGATTTAGCTAAAAATGAGTAATAGCACATATACATTTCTAGAAAAGACCACATTTTAAGAAGGCACTAAAGCGTCCGCTTGTGCTCCCACTTTTTTTTAAACAAATAAGGAAAATTTATTTTCATAATGGCACCTGTACTATTCGCAGCTGAAAAGACACACTGCAGCACGGCTCATAACAAGATCTGTAATTCAGATAATATGATACAGAAGTGCTCACTTCTGGAAGGACAAAAGAAAACAACAAAACTAAACAACCCCAAAATAACTCAGTTATGTGACCTACTATCTGTAACATGGCAGTGTCCCTTTTAGGAACAGAAAAGTAGCATGCATTGTTCAAATACTTTAAAAGAAATATTAATTTTACGGATATTAGTAAGAAATTCTTTTAAACAATAAAACCCAAGAATCTCAAGCAGTGAGCAACTGAAAAACATACTGGTCAGTGGGTATTTAACAAAAGAACTGTAAAACTGTGTTTATGTTTAAAACCCCTTTCTGCTGGGGTCATATACAACGGAAGAAAGTGTGTATATTTATGCACCATTTCCAAGCACATCAAACAGCATACATTGAAGGTTTTGTGGATTTTTTTACCCACAAGGTAAAACAACACAAAATCATCAACGAGCAGTATTTGAAACAAACTTCAATGCGTATCTTCAGGTTTTTTTGGGTAGAACAGGTTTACATCTTTCAGTTTCTACTTATTTGTAACAGCTCATGGCAAAACTTAACATAAATCATTTCACAATTAAGTACAGCCATCATGGAAATACATGGATTTTCAGAGATGAATAGTTTTGATGGCATCTGCCTTTTCATGGTATAACTACTGGTCCGTGCTCTCTTGCTTTACTGCAAGAAGACAACAAAGCTATCACAAGAATTGAAAGAGCTACTAGTACTATCAACACGGTCAGGTTGATTGCTTTGACATTTTCTTCCTCATTCTGGGAAATAAAAAGCTTTGGATTTCATTCCTTAGTTGAATCAGATGCTCACTCTTTGCTTTAAACCTCTCCCATTTTAATTGAGAGGTTTTCTTCATTTGGTTGACAGTTCCCATTCTGTTGTAGTTTGACTTCATCTGTCCTTTCTGTATCTCTGTTGTCTACTTCCTTGTCAGTTTCTGAATTCTGATCCTCTTTATTGTGATCTTTGTCCTACCAAAAATAGAATTATTTTACAAAAAAAATCATATTCTTAGCATTACGGGGTATGACTTTTACGACTTCCAGCCAACTTTTGTTATTTTTGTCTTAATTTTTACACGCCTACCTTGTCTCAGCAATTTTTATAATAGAAGTGTCAGCTTCTTTTCCTTTTCATTTGGATGAAGTTAGGTACTCATAACAATTAGTCATCCAAGAAATCAAAGCCATAAAGTAATCTGTCTTTAAAACCAATATTAAGAAAAAACAAAGTAACATCACAGAACCTATTAGAAACAGCTTCAGAATTGAAGATTTCTCCATATTTCCTAAATAAAATAGGATTAAGCTTTTTACTTTCACAGTTTTCATCAGAAACCTGATGCATTTTAAGACAGTTCTTGGATAATTACTTAAGCATGTGGGCAGAGTCACCCAAATCAGCTGTTTATAACAGCTGTATAATTCTGAGTACAACAAACTACTCTTAAAGGCATGCTGTTTTTCAAATACTAAGATGAAAAAAATTTGAAAGTGCTTCTTTCCTTAATCACACCACCTTCTATTTTGCAGGGCAAAATCCCATACCACTCTTCCCCAACTCTTTAACCTTACTCCTGTGGAGTCCAACATGCACACCAGGGCCAAAGCAATCTGGAAGAGGCTGAACTGCAGAGTGAAAGTTTATTGGAAAAGTAATATTCCCAGCTTGATAGCCAAGATGTCCCTGAACACTTCTGAGTTATACAGTCTGCTTCCTACCTGCTCATATAGATAGGCAGTCAGCCAAGTCCTAACACGTGGAGCAAGAAAGAGAAAAAAACAAACATAAAAAGTGTTTCCATAACCTATCCATACAAGCTGCTAAGTCCAGTAGAGTTCAAACATGGAGACATATGAAACTGGCACACTAACACACCAACCGTAGGTTTTCACTAGCAAAAGCCAAACACAAATAGTAATAATTTGGTAAAGAAAACAGGAGGAAACAAAGGGAGGAGGTAAAGAAAGAAAAAAAGGACTTTCAATATTGGCTCCACTGGCACCTCTTCATTCTGCTTATTACTTGGTCATACATAGCTTACCTTCAAAGTACTGGTGCTTTTGTCAGATTTCTCCTTTCCCTCTTTTTCTTTACTACTTTTTTTCTTGGAGGTGGAGCGTTCTCTTTCTCTTCTTTCGTTATTTGTATCTCTCTCTCTCTTTTTTTCCTTTTTGTTTCTGTTTAACAAAAATTTTTACTCAAATTAAAATTTGATCCAACAGCAACAACCTTCAAACCATTTTATTGCAAACTAAATTTTCATCGATGGGTTTTTCAAAAAAATCCCAAAACATAACAAAACCTCCTTTCATAAAGACAAGAGCTTTTTTTGACAGATATGAGAGAGAGAATACACGTGCTCAGTATGCATGGTACTGGCAAAGAGAAAAGCAAATTCATCTGTATCCAGTGAAGGGCTTTTACTGATTTGAAGCAAATCTGCACTGTTGACAGTTCTGAAATACTAGGTGAAAGCATACCAAAGCTCAAATTCATCATACTGTCCAACTGACATAGTCTAAGATTATTAGTGCAAAAGCAGTTAACCAATGAAAATACTAAAAATTCTTGATCCTTTACTGTTCATTAACTTTTATATTTACATCAAACTGACCTTCTCGGAGACGGAGTTCGTGAAGACTTTCTTTTTGTTGTTTTGGATGACTTAGGAGATTTGGAGAGACTTCTACTCTTCCTTTTACGCCTTTCTCTACAGGACCAAGAAATTCAAGATTATCAAAGAATAAAAATAATAAACTGAGGAACAAGATAAAAACAGAACACCCTTAAAATAATCTGAGACAACAATTAAGTAAATATCCCTGAATTTAACACTGTATTACTAGCAACAATATACGAACTGCAGAAAGAGAAAAAAAAAAAATCTCATTTCAGATGGTGGGAAAGGGAAGGCTAGAAGTGGGAAAAAAAAGGTTGCGCCTTTCATATTTTAGCTTTTTGCTTTATTCTCACATGCTTGTACTTACACCTGATAACAATGGAAACACACTTAATTCACTAATCCTGTATTAAGTAAGAGTTTCTTTAGGCAGGAAAAGAATCAAACTCAGTTTTGAAGAGCCACATTAAGACAAAAGGCCTAACTTCAGCAATGCAAACCTCAGCGTGTAACATTACAACCTGAAGACCACTGTAATTTCAGTTCAACCTGACTGTAATTTAATTCGTAAATACAGGAGCTAGTATTCCTATCGGTTTAGAAGTAAACTGTGCGAAATGAAGCTCAAGATGTTGTCAAAATCAGAAGAAGTTATTATCTATTGTTTTCCTAGCAGTCCTTGCTCAGCAAACAGAATGTTACCATTCTGTGGGACACTGAAGAGCTCACAATATTTTACTAAACAGCTGTTCTACAGATGTATGATACACGGAGTTTGCCAAAGCTGTTACAGAGTCCAATCTTGAATAGAACATAACATTAAATAACTTGTCGCAAACATACCAAAGTATATGTTAAAATAAAGCAAAATCTGATCCAGTAAAGTTTCATTCAACATAAACACAGAACCTGTCTCTGTCAAAGTAACATGCTTTTTTTCCTATCACCTCTTCCTAGAGCAGAAAAAGTGGATGTATGGAGCCATCAAAGAAAAACAGGGAAGTTAAAAACAACTTCAAGATATGCTACACTTACGCATACCAGCTTTTACAATTCACACTACTAGGTGTGAATATTTACATCTTCAATATTTAGAAAGGACAAGAAATCAACAGTTATTAAATAAATTACAAAAGGATTTATTAAGATATGCCTCGTATCACTATCTGGATTGATACATTGACAATATTATCTACCGTGGCCTCCTCAAACTGCACAGGACAAAATATCATAACTATTTTGTTCAGCCAGCTCTTTAAGTTTGATCTGATCTTCAGTAAACAAAAATACGAAGTGGCCTCAGTATCATCAAGAAAGTAACAAAATCACTAATCAGCTGCTTACTAGTTAACACACATCACATTTTTAACAGCTTCACATTTATCACAACCTTTTTTTAATAAGAGGATACTGGAAATTGATGTATTACTCTGACAGTGCTCCCACTTGGGCTACAAGGAGTACCTCCCCACTTTATTTTGCTTTCCAGCATACATAGTAGCCAAGTGCCTTAGCAATTGTGTTCATGCTAGAAATTGTTTATTCATGAAATCTGATTTTCAGTTTCTGCTTTTCATATTTCAAGATGAAGAGCTTTAACTGTCTTACAGTATTTGTTCCCATCTCTATCCCATTTGCCTACACAAAGATGTTTGTGCACCTATTTAGCACTGCTAAGAAATCCTAACACAGCAAAACTTCAGAAAAAACAATTCTGAATACTTCAATAATGATTCTGTGCCTCTTAGTCATAAACAGAATTAAACATTCCATACCTATCTCCTCTGCTAGCTTGTAAATATTTGTTGGAAAAGGAGCCAGATCTTCCCCTTCCTCTGGTCTGTGCCTCTTCCTTCAGCTAGGAATCACAAACAGCCATCTAATTTCTAGTACCTGGATGCTGTCTGTCAGTAAAGCAAGGTCAGTTGCCACCTAGTTCTTAGAAGGTCCTAGTTGTCCAACTCTACCTTCATCTTTTCTCCAAAAAGGTGACTATGTGTCCAATATTTTATACTCATACAGTAAAGGACTAGCAATCCCATCTCAGTGTTGCATTGGTAAATTCAGATAGCTGAAATGCTACTTCAACTACTATTTCAACTAGGTAATGTCAATCACCAAAGTAAACAGATATCCTTAAATGTAAGCTAACTGGGACTCTGTAATCCAACCTATTCACAATTACTTCTCAGAGAATAACAGAATTACTGAGGTTGGAAGAGCACTCTGCAGACCCGCTAGTCATACCTCGCCCCGCCCAGCCTAAAAAGAGGGTGAACTACAGCAGGTTACTCAGGGCCACATCCAGTCAGATTTTCAGTATCTCCAAAGAGACTCCACAATCTCTCACCGTAACTGGATCCACTTGGCCTTGAAAAAAAACCCAACAACCAAACAAAATCAAAACAACACAATTCAAACACTGGAAGAAAGTCTTTATTTCCCATACGTCAGTATGTGCCCACTGCCTCTTAGCCTGTCACTAGCCCTCACTGGCTGTCTTCATCGCACTCTCTGAGCAGGTACTCATATGCACTGGTAAGATGTCCTCTCAGCCTTCTCTTCTCCAGACTAGACAATCCCAGCTCCCACAGTCTCTCCTTCTATGACAGATGCTCCAAGTCCTTTACCAGTTTTGTGGCCTTCCACTGGACTCACTCAAGTACATCTGTGTCTCTCTTGCACTGGGTAGCCCAGAACTGGATGCAAGATTCAGAAGCAGCCTCACTAGTGCTGAGGGAAAGAATCACCTTCCTTGACCTGCTCACAGCACTCTGCCTAATGCAGAGCAGGATACTGCTGACCTAGTCAGGACCCCCAGGACCTTTTCTACCAGACAGCCTTCCAGTCAGTCCCCATGCTGTACTGTTGTGACAGAGTCTGCCTGCCCAGGTGCAGAATTTGGACTTTTCTATGTTCAACAGAGACACCTGTCAGCCCACTTTTCCTGTCTGTCAATGCTTCTCTGAATGGCAGCACATTCCTCTGGTGTAAGAGCCTCTCCCCTCAGTTTTGTATTGCCTGCAAACTTGCTGAGGGTCCACTCAGTCCACTGACGAAGATGTTCAAGAGGATCGGTTCTAGTATTGATAACTCTAGGGATAACAACTGTATCTGAAGAAAGAATTATAAATCCATGTCAAAAAAGTGTGTTACTCTCATCCTCTGTATTCAAAAGAACACTGTCCATATTTAGTAACATTTGTACTAAAAAAAAAATTAACTTCATATCAAAGTAGAGTTTTGTACTGTGAGTCCACTAGAAGAGATGCACTAATTTTCACTAGAATTCTTTGCTCAAGTACATGGCATTTGAGCCTTCTACAGCACTCTTAAATAGCAAGATTCTTACATGGAGCCTTATTGTTGCAAACTAGAGTATGAATTTTTGGCAACATCCACCTAAATACACTTGCTGTTAGACATTAAGAACTGTGTCTTCCACCAAGTTTCTTACATAAGCTACTCATCATCTGAATCTTAAATCCTTTTTCTACACCTACCTAATTCAACACTTCTGAGACCTACAGACAGAAAATGTTATGTTTTCAAAGCTGGCAGAAGTGCCTCTAACTCTCCGTAGGTCTTCAACCCATGAAATAAAGTTTAAAATGCATTAAAATATGAAGCTGCAAATGCTCAAAGGCAGCACAGTATTTTGCATAAGAATCATTCTACTTACTGTCCTCAAGGACTATACTAAATGGTTGTGTGAAAGGCAAGCACCAGCAGCCCAACATGAAACTATCAGGCATCATACAGAGCATTTTGCCATAGATTTTACTTTATAGGAAAATCTACAAAACAAATAATACAAATTCAATTAGTAAAAGACATGGTGATACTAATACGAAAACTAGGATGGTGCCTCATTGAACTGGCAAGTCAAGAAAGACATTAAAAAATTCTAAACAAACCTGCTCGAGCTACGAGATCTTCTTGAAGAGCTATAGCTTCTTGGGGGTGTTCTGGATCTCTTCTCTTTCTTCTTTTTATCATCTCTCTCTTTTTCTCGCTCTTTCTCCTTATCCCCATCTTTCTCTTTCTCTCTGTCCCTCTCTTTGTCCTTATCTCCCTCCTTGTCCTTAATCTTCTCTCTGTCCTTCTCGCCTTCTTTCTCAGTATCTTCCTTGTCCTGGTCTACCTCTTCCCTGTCTTTTTCCTTCTCCTTATCTTTCTCCTTATCCTTGTCCCTGTCTTTATCCTTGTCTTTGACTCGCTCCCGATCTTTGTTTCTCTCTTTATCTCTCTCCCTGTTTCTCTCTTTATCGCGTTCTCTTTCTCTATCTTTGTCTCGGTCTCTCTCTTTCTCCTTGTCTCTGTCTCTCTCTTTTTCTTTGACTTTTTCTTTTTCCTTGACCTTTTCTTTGTCTCTTTTCTTGTCCCTGTGAAAAGCCAAACACAAATATATTAATTCATCCTTAAACTTTCCAATTAAAATTACAACTCTTTAGTATACATTAATTGCTCAAGATAAAGTACATGTCCCTGTTGAAAATTACTCAGTATTTTACATTTCCGCCCCTGTTCAGCATGAGGGAAATCTTATATAGCTAAAAACACCTTGGAAACCAAACTGGAGAAGGGGAAGCCAAAATCAAATCGAACTGTGATCTTCAGAGCAATGTTACAAGATACACCTTAAGAGAATGTCTCTTCACCTCACAGTTATGTTATACATACATAAATTCTCTACATTCTGTCAGGAGACAAATTCTACAGTCTGTAAATCCACTCTTTACTAAAAGTGTGTCCACATAAAATGGACTGCAGATTAACCAGCCCCACACAAATAACAACAGCTGACTGACGAAGTCTTTAATCTACAGTGTTCTCTCACACAGATATCTTGGAACTGCTTGGAAATACAACACAAATTAATACACAGAAATAAACTAACAGGAATAAAATTTCACCAAATTCCCTCTAAAGGCAAATGTAAGGTCAAAACTCGAGACAATTCAGTCACCCGTAATGTCACTAGGAATTCAAAAGTTGTTGAAAAATTGTTAATACAGTAATACACTAAAACCAGAAGCAAGAATAATAGAACAAGTCAGCTTCTTTGGGACAGACAATATGATACATGTTCATAAAAGGAAGAGTGAGGAAAATTCCAACTGATATTCTAGTCATCAAGGCAAACAAAACCTGATTAGCTCACAGCTTTGGCTGGAAGACTGCATTTCTGTATAGGATTAATTGGAAGTGCAATACTCCATCTGTTTTTTTTCTAGCACAGAGACACATGACTCCCAGACCTGCCCCTCAGACAAATGAAAACGAACAATTTTTCAGTGACAGAAAGAGTAGAAAGCACAAGAAGAGAAGTTGGTTAGCAGGCCTTTCCATGTCCAAGAGAACCAGACTGACAGAAGTTGCTGTGTCTACTGGTACTGGTACCTATTCTAGGATTTTTAAAGAGACTCCTCCACACACAAGAGGTCCTAAGCAGAGCCCCTACCTTTCTTCAACAAAAGGAGTGCTTGGCTGTATCTTCTCAACTGCTAGCTAATAATATAGTAGGCTGTTGCATGCTCTGTGACCTGACAATTTTGCTTCCCATCAGGTTTTGGAAAATACTTCTTTAGAAGTCTCAGAAAAAGAATGTAAGATCTTAAAGATGAAACAGCATACAATCACTGCAGTAGCAGAGTCTCACAATGAGTCAAGAAGTGTCTTTCACTTAATATATCACAGAGATTTTACTGCATTTGCCCTTTCTAGTAAGCAGGTATCTCAGAAAGCTCAGAATAGCACCAGAGAATCAAAGGATCCATAATAAGCCCAGCTAGCTAGGTAACTTATTCCTGTTTCCACTAATGTCCAGAGATCTGCAGTTCTCTTTTCAATACAATTTCTTCCCTCAAAAAGTAAGAGGAAACTGCACAATCTAAGCATGAAGCTCCCTTAAATCAATCAGGTGAATTACAGAGATGAAACAGAAAGAAAAGTACGAAGACTTCTATTCATGAAGCTACTTTCATAGGGACATTTTTTTTGTGAATATTCACCATTTCATCCCTCCGAAAATTATGTTATCCACTTTTTTGTGGGCTGTGCAGGCTAGTGAAAATTCACAATCTATTGGTTAAGTCTGGCAGTTAAAGCTAGCTGTTTTCAGTCAGTTTGTACATTATTATAATTGCAGACTAGATTATCAAAGATTAGGTACCTCAGTACGGTAGTTTAACCCCCACAGGCACCATATGAGCTACTATGAAGAAAATCAACTTTATCCCAGCCAAAACCAGTACACTCTGCATTAAAATTTACTTTCTATTATTTTGTCCCACAGATAAAGGCTAGGGAGAGGCTAAAGCATCTAGAGATTCTACCCTTTACCATCACCTGAAAGGTCTGCTAGTTTTTTTCAAGAACTCTGTAGTGTGTGCTAAGAAGAACAGTATCATTTCATAGGAATGGAACTCACCGAGAATGAGAGCGACTTCTAGATTTCCGTCTTTCCAATCTAGACCGTTTTTTCAGGGGACTTCTGGATCTGCGTCTGTCCTTATGCCTTGAGACTGACCTGTTGCCAGATCTACTTCTATATTAACAATGCCAGAAAAAAAATAGTTTAATATTGGAACTTCATGAAAATTAGGTCAATCAACAAAGGCAAAACCCCATAAATCTTGCCTTTCTACATAAAATCATATAAAGAGTTACACCTCAGTAATATACTGTGTACGAACATTTTTGTTGATACTTCATGATTCACCAGTTGCAAAAGCCCTTCTTTGAAACAAGTGCACCATTTAAGTAATACCCATGTTTCATAATAACCTCTGTGAACATTCTGGAAAATATTAATTCACATCATATTAGAGTTACCTGTCCTTAGTAATTACAGTGCATAAAATCTACTATTGACAATTTCTAGCAGCTTGAAAAAATAGTTAGATCTTGTTTCTTTTCGAGGCCTAGTATCTTACTGTAGTCTTGATCACTTAAGAAAGATGGCTTTAACGGGTCTGTTCTTGCTTTGTTCTCCAGCCTTTCAATTTAAATTAGCTTTAAAAAACCAAACTAACCAAACAAAAAAACCAAGAATAAACACTATCTGCGATTCAGCATTTAGTTGTGTTATCTTTTCAGTTGAAAGGAATTAGCATTTACTCCATAATAAGTATGTAATGCAAATACTGTGCAAATACTCCAACAAAAGTTCAGTTAAAGTCTTCTGATACATGTAGTCATAGATTTGATGAAGAATATAAGACTTTTAAAGTATTGTATTCTTTTTTTCCAAAATATTCCTATTTTTGGAAGATCATACTCCCTAGGAAGCAAAATAAAAAGCTGAATTTGAACATAAAAGTTTCAAAACCCTACATCATTGGACACTATGCCTGAGAGGTTAAAGTGCTACAAAGTTTAACTTACCAAAGACAGAAAGGCCACGTATATAGCTCAATAAATCCTGAGGAACATGGAGGTACAAAAAATACCAGTTCAACCTGTCTTCTGGAGCTCAAGACACTGAGTAATATATTCCAAGAAGAGAAGCAACCATTTTTTTACCTACAGCTTTGCTTCCCTTATCAGCACAGAAATACAAACTAACACCATGGCAAATTAATTATGATTGAGCCAAAATAAGACCTGGAATCAATTTTATATCATAGAGATTAAAAATGTTTTATAAAACAGTAAAACTGGGAAGTGGTGAGGACAGTTTACTCTTAGTGATGAAGGAGCCTCAACATATCAGACTATCCTTTTTTCAGCACGCTTTCAAAACAGAAACAGTGGTAAATCATTTTTAAAAAAACAACCCCAAACAAAATCTTAATGGGTATACTTTAAAGATGATCCAGTAATTTTATTTCTTCTCATATTCCAAAGCCTGTTTTGGAATTGAAAAAATTTAGCAAAGCAAACAAAATCTGAAGAATGAAAAGCTGCCTGTAAAGCCTTTTCCTTATGCTCTAAAAAGCTATAGTTTTACATTTACAGTACAGTAAATAAAAATACTGCATTCGCTAACTCAATATTTAGAAGTTCAAGACATCAGGAACTTTCTACTAGAAAAATAAGCCAGCCTATCTGCTCAGTGTGTTAACAGTAAACTAAATATACAATCTGCAAGATAAGGTTAGCAATTTCCTTTTAAAATAGTCACAGGTCACAAGATGGTATTATCCTACATGGCACAAAATGTACCATGGAACTATAGAAATTGTTATGCTACATGGCACAGAAAATGCTTTCTGGTGTATTTTAACTGAAAGTAATCCTGAAAACATTTAGAATTTGGAGAGAAAGAGTATCTGTTCAGAGACAAAGTTCCTGGTTACTCTGATCTGCTCAGTGTAAATTAGTAATCTCTGCAAGGGTACTTGTCTTATAACTCAGTAAAAATCTCAGTAACCACCACCACTCAAAAATCTCCTGTATAATCTCTCAGTATAAAATAAAACTCACACCTACCTGTGTTTTGAGTGTGATCTTTTCCTCCTAGATCGGGATTTTGAGCTAGACCTGGATTCTGAACGAGAATGGGAACGAGATCGACCGCCTTTTCTTTCACTGCTCTTTCCAGACTCTGAGAGGAAAAAACCACTTTGCAGTGTAAGCTCAGAACATTTAAAGATCCCAGTTAATAATCTGGCACAAGTGGAATGTACCACATATAGTGCAAGGGGCCTACTCTTTGCACATCTTCCTTCTTTGCAAATATCCTTCAGAAACATCCAAGAAAGTCATTGCATATACTCGTTGAGTGCAGCCATCCTGCAGCAGTACACATAAACCAGATAATTATAAACAGCTAGCTCTATTAGGAATGGGATTTATGTTGCTGCCACAATGCACAAGATCACAACATTTTTAAAAAATAACCTGAGAAGAATAGAGTAAATTTAGAGGACACAATTTTGAAAACAAGCATAACATGTAATTAGTACTTTCTGTGCTTATAGATATTGAAACCACTGTACAATAAATACTGAAGTTTTACTCCTCAAACGCTGTTTTGATGAGATGGAGAGAACAGGGTGAAATGTTTGATCCAAAAGCCAGGAAGTCAATAGAAATCTTAACTGTGACCTCACCGGATTTTGGCTCAGACACTGGAAGTTTGTTATTCTGCTGCTTAACACTGAGGAAACATTAGAGCCACTTTACTTCCAACCCTAAAAAAACACCTGAAAATACTCACACCTTCCCCCCTGCCAAAATTCCTCAAGACTCTGGAGTATCTAACTTACGTTAAGACGATGTCTGGGTTTGTTGGTAAGAATAGCAAAATCTCACTAATGAAAAAGGAGGATTTCAACTGGAAGTTTAACAATTGAGAATTCTTTTATGCTGTGGTTTTGCAATCAGTTTACATCAGCATAAATCAGCATGAAATGTCTAATCTCTCAACCCACCAATGCCTTCCTCCTTGACCTGGCATCTCACTATTAACAGGGATCAGGAAACCAATCTGGATGAAAAGTGTCATTCACAATATGTTAAGTTCTATCCCAGATTCATTCTCTGATGCCATTTGCTATGAGGATGCACAGAGTCTTGAGCCAGCATGAAAGAGAGCGGAGCACACATAGGGACAAAATTAACTTGCTACAGACAAGGAAAGCATAATGTTACTGCTTTCAGAACCATGCTAGCTCCCTCTGACCATGAAACTATGTTCTTAATGGGTGTTAGAGGAGAACAAAACAAAATACATTTTCCTTTAAAAGTCTGTAAGCACTCTGAACTTAAAAAGAAACAATATTAGTTGCTAATTTAGCATTAACTTTGTATTTTTTAAAACATTCAGTGAGCATGTATCTGAAAATAAGACACAACGAAATAGTCAGCTTCATTCCACTGCTTTGCTGCACCAACTGAATTTTGATTATTTTCTTTCTTTTTCCCAACACTTAATTGTTCACCTTCAAGTACCCTTTTTCCTGTGTTTGAAAATGCTCTTAAAAGCACTTGCAAAGGTACACACAAAATGTGTTTGTTAGGCAATGAGCATAATATACCTACCTGGCTCAATAGCAGCAGATATGAAAGACTGGGCTTCCCTTACTCTCTTCATCACCTCTTCCAGTTCCTTGGCAGCAGCTTGTGGTGTCATTTCAGGAGGCTTCACTATTGCATTATTGGAGTGATTTATTCTAAATTAGGAAAAATAAAACCTTTAAATCCCAAACACTTTAAAATGGAAAAACAACTAAGAAAACACCTCAACTTCCAAGGATGATTAAAACCTTCAAAGTTCGTCGAAACTACAGATGTGTCCTCAGCTTGTCTAAGTATCAGAAATGTCTTTTATTGCTTTCAAATCTTACCACATTTAAATAAATGCAGAACAACATTTCTGTGTTAAGGTGTTTTCTACTGGAAGTCTAGGAATCTATTTCTCTATTTCAGATCAAATCTCAATGTTCAGGCCTATTAATTACATACACATAATACAGAAAGCTTAATTAGTACTAAAGACTTATGCCATCCATATTCTTCTGAGAGAAACCTTGGAATTGGAGTTTATAAAAATGTTCCATTTTGCTAATAGGTCCTTACATTGAAAAAAATATTCATCACAGCAGTTTCCTGTACATTGAAGTCCTAAATGTAGAAGCACACAAAGAAATCTCTCATTCAACAATCATACGGATAATTAATTTCTTACTTCAGTGGCCTGTCTCCAAACATAACTCCATTAAAGGCAAGAGCTCGAGGTACAGAATTTTGGTCTGCAAATTCCACAAAAGCAAATCTTGTTGGTTGTGTCTCATCACCTGCCATTCGCACAAATTTGACTTCTCCAACTTGCTTAAAGAATTCAAGCAGCTGATCTGCTGTTGTAGTCTAGAAAGAGTCAAAGAGCTCAGCTGAAGTGAAATATACAATGATAACCACTTATCCAATCTACCAGGCCATCTAAGAGCCTCAGATTTTGTAAACATATCTCACCCTTACTACACAGGTGAAATGAATTTGGTATTTTTTCTTTCATTAATCTAAAGAGTACACTACAATTTAAAATAGTGCAACCACAAGCTCTGAAGTCCTACATCTAGATTTAAAAAGCATTTGCACAGGATTGTGCACTTTTCAGGCAAATAATCTGAAATAACTGATAAGGAATTTCCTTACACACTTGTGTCCAAGATGTTGATTGTGAATTTTGATCAATTAAAAAAAACAAATAAAAATCCAAACAATATCACAAGACTTAGCTTCAATCTGTTTTTCTACTAGCTTCCAGCTTGTTTTACTTTATTGCAATCAGGAGTACTTTCACACTCTAGTAGCTCATTTAGCAGTCAAAAAAACCTCCAAATAAAATACTTGTATTGCCATCAGTCAAAAGCCAATTGCTTTTCACTTAATTCAATCAACTGCTAAAAAAAATAAAAACACCAAGTTTCTGACAGACCTAACTTTCCTGTTACAGAAACTCAAAGGTATTTATGCTAATTTATCAAATTCCACTAGGACACACCTTCCATCTTACTATAGTTAAGCCACTGCATGGTGTTGTGGTACACAGCTACCTTGATCTCATTATGTTCAGAGGCATTGCTCAGCTAACACAACCCAGCTGTACATTTGATCAACACACAAAACTGTAAATATGCTTTTGCAATTCAGCTGCAGAGTGATTTCTTTCATGTCCTGCCAGAATGAATTCCACAGTTTGGCCTGATCTGATTGGCACAGGAGCATTCAAAATCAAAAATACTACTAGTAACCAAAAGTTTATTATTTTTTTAATTCCTGCTATCAACTAAAAAACCTCTTTTTTAACATGTAAGATGAGAATTCATAAATTGCAATTCTACACTTTCCATTAGTATTTCCATTACACAAAAACCAGCTACCTGGGAATTCAAGTTTCCAACATAGACTGTTCTCCTGATTTCATCAATTTTGGATGGATCCACATTCCCCATAATTGGTGGTTGTGGTATTTCTCCCAGAGCCGTAATGTTAGGGTCCAGTGCTGCTGCTGGTATAGCCCCCAAAGTGCCAAGTGAAACACCAAGCTGGAAAACACAAAAACAGAATATGCTTTGCAACCAAGCACTTGGTGGAAGATACTTCACTTATTAACACTTGCTTGTCTTGTGCATTTCTGAAAAATAAATCTAATGAATACAGACAATACTTTAAGGTGTTGAGCACTTTTTTTACAGACTAAAAATCAATTCATAAATAACTTCCTATAGTTAAAATCTTCTGTGAGCTACCAGTTAACATCTTATTAAAGAGGTCTGGCCAGCAATGCACTGTATCCATCAGGAAACAAACTGGCTTGAATTTCTAACAGTCGATCAATGTGATCAAGACATCTCCAGGCACTGCTATTTTTTTTATCCACCACCCCCGCCCCCCTCCCCCCAAGTATAAAAGTAGATGAGAAACTGCTAAGCCCTTGCCCAGCAAAGGAAGAAGGAAACTTGCAGTGCTCAGGACCAATTTGTTCTGTAACAGATATCAGTCCATTAAAGGAACAGATAAGGTACCTTTTCAACCAACACATCACGAAAGGCAAGATAAATTACAGTTGAAATGTGAAGGATATTAAACCTAAATTCTTTACCTATGAACACAGTCACTTCCTAGAGAATGAGGACAATACAGCTCTCTCTCAACTGGGATTTGAAATCTCTCCTGGGGAATGTTATTAAAAAAAGGTCACTTAAAAATCACTACTAAATTGGTCTGCTGAGTTCCTGGTTTGAATTTTACTTTCTTTCCTCAAAAAGCAACTGCCTTTCCAGCATCAAATTTTCTAAAATATGAGGAATTCTCAAGTAGGCACCAATATTTTTTTTTTAAAATGCAAAACCAGAAAACTGCTCTATTTTAATTGAAATTTTCCCTGAATAGGTCACAGAAGCCTGCTGATGTCAAGAAAGGCTTACAGAGGCAAAAGGGAACTAAGCAGAAGTAGCACCATGCTTTTTGTCCTGGAAACATGGTTAGGCAAACAGTCAAAAGCCCTCTTGTACAGATACCAATTAAAGCACCCTAATGCAGCATTTTAATACTCAAAAAAAAACTGTGTCAATGTAACTACGTTTCAACAAATTTTTAGGAGGTGGATAGCACTGCCACTGGACCGAACTAATGGGTCTAGGGAAAACACAACAAGGGATCCATGGATCAGATCATTCTTGTTCTCTCAACACAGAAAAGGCTACTGAGTATAGATGAAATCAAAAATCAAACGGCAGATTAATTTTTGCTTACTGTAGTCAAAGGGGTTGGTGTAGGTATAGGAAGCAACCCTGCACCAGGCATTAGGCTTGTCATAGTAGGAGCAGGCGCCAACAGGGAAAGGGCTTTGGCTTCATCTGGGATTTTACCTGAAGAAGCAAATGAAAGCATTACACAGAGTTGGAACACTACACAGATGTTACTCTTTCTATGATTTTACAACTACCCTTGCATTTAAAAATGTAATAAATAACAATGAATCTATCTACCAGATCCTTACAAAGAAACAAATAAGAACTTAAGTTTTTCCTTTTACCCTGCCTCTACTAGGAAAAACAAAAGTGAGCAAAACTTCAAAGACTAGCAATCTCATTAATGATTATTTTTAAAACTGAATAATGTATACAATTATTTAACACTTTGAGCTATGGGTCACCTGTACTGGAAACTTAATGTTCATGAACCAAACGATATCAAGCATGGACGCTTTCCCAGGGCGGTGTTTTCGCGGTGATCGAAAGTTGTTTTACACATGACAACCGTTCGTGTTGGCTGCATCACTAATAGCACACAGAACATCAGATACAGAAAAGAAGAACATTTTTTAAAGTTTAATCCCCAGAAATGGCAAATAACCAAACCAGTAAAACAAAAAGAAAAAGAAAAAACAAAGTATGTGCTAACTGAAATTTGTGCTTGTTTTTGTTTTGTTGTTCGGGCTTTTATTTTTCAATTCCTCTGCTGATACCTACTTTGCATGTAAAAATAAAATGATAATAAAAAAAATACTACTAAACTACTGTGACTCCACTCAATACATATTATAAGTGAAGCTGGAGGCGGAGAAATGGAGGGCAGAAAAACTTAATTTGTACTGTCTCACATTCTAGTTCACCTCAGTTTATCTGAAGCTCTGATAAATAGGCTTTAAATATATTGAGATTGAAGAAAATTGCAACTGATCAGCTAAGCAAGCTGTATTTTCCCAAAATATCCATTTCCCACTATTTCATCCCGATTATACTCCCCCTGTCATGCTAGAAGTTTAAGTAATATCTAATCTGAATCAAATGGAAGTTTCATTCAACACTGGCGACAATTAGACTGCTAAATGACCCCAAATCTTCAAAAATCAAGATTTAATAGTTAAACAATTATGAATACAATTATATGTACATATTAAATTTGAAATGCAAATGCATTTAAACTGGTACAAACAACAAACACTAAACTGAAAAACTACAGGAAAGTTCTAATTATACTAGATACCTAAGATCTATTAAAAATTTCTGGAATAAATGTATATATACTATCCAACTGAGCCCTTTGGTATGCACTTTATTAAAGTAAATGCTTTTATTTAAACATTATTTGAAAAGTCAAGGTATATATAAATACTGCACTAGTGGCTTTTACTCCTTAGGTTCAAACCGTGTATATTTTAACTGCAAAACTCCTAACTTCAGGGTTTAAAATGAGTACACAGATATTCTTATCAAAAAGCAACATATGAGGTAAGTTTCAAAACACTGGGTTGCTTTAGCTGTACAAGTTTCAATAGACTCCACAGGAAACATCTACTTTTAAAAAAATAAAAATAAGAAAACCTGTTCTACGGATCTGCAATAACGACTGGGTTACAGTTGGATATCACCAAAAGACAAAACAAACCTAAATGAAACTTAATTTGTATGTAGCATGGGTTGAATAGAAAAGATAAAACAACAGTACCCATTTTTTTCTCATGCTTCCTATTTACATTTATTTACATTAAATTTTGAGGCATCTTGCTCCTTAACATGTAACAAACCACTTGATTTTGCTATCAGAAGGAGAAAAATAGGAAAATTATTAGAACTTAATAAGTAACTGTGCAATAACGACTTCCAGGGCTTAAAAAAAAGATAAAAAAATTTAAAAAATAAAAAAAATCATGCATGAATCTGAGTTATCATCACAATGTTCAGCACTCTTCATAGATCTCATTTTGAAGCCAGACATGCAATGAGAGGTGTACATGATCTGCCTGACTGCTCAGGAGTATCAGGTACTTTCCTGTACATCCTGCCTAATATATAGCTAACCAAAAGGCTTTTGAATATAGTTCCAGCAGCTATGCATGCAAATTAGGCATAGAATTACGTACTAGTTCTTCTGAAAATCTAAATATTTAAGTGTTTTCAAATGATAAATGAACCAGACCTTATCCTGAACAACCAGCATCTTGCAATTCACTGGATACTCATGCAGGTTTCTACAGGATCAACAGACATCGATCAAGTAAATCCAGTGGTGGAAATGGCTCCTGAAGTGGTGTGTCTGCATTCTAATTTAGATCCTTGTCCAATAATGTACGTAAGTATATGCCTAATTTAAATATGTGCTTACATACAGCCAATTCAGTATATCCTTAATCACATAAATTTAAGAGATGTTTAGGCATTTAGCCCTTTCAAATAGGACCTGAGTTAGGTACATAACAGATAATGAGCCAAGTTCAGAAAGGTACTTAAATACAAGCCTAAACTTTAAGTATATTGTTCATCTTACTGAAATAATTGGAATTACTCATGTTGCTCAAGTAACCCATTGAATACTTTTCGTTAAGTGCACTGTTACAGCAGTTCAAAGAATTAAAAACATGCATATCTAAACTGTAAGGTTATTTCCAGAATACTTTGGCCCTTCAACAATGTAACAAAATCTAGTTGGTCAGTTCCATGCCACAAAAAAAGACTTGTCTATTTAACTCAAGAATGATAAAGGGTCTATCTACAGACAGAACCCTGAAAACCTCAATATTCAAAGACACTGCCTTTTCAAAAGATCCTTCTCTACATCTTAAGACCAGGTCAAACTTTTAAAAAATTCTGTAGAAAATAAACTCAGTCTTGTGGAGAAAAAAAAACAAACAAAAAACCCCTGAAGTATCTTGCAAATATACTTCCCTGTTCTTTACACAGTTAAAAAAACCAAAGCAAACTCACAACTAACTATTATGTGAGGCCAAATAACCTCTCTTTTAAAGGCTTTAGGTTCTGGAGTTTTACCTCCATGAATTTATTTATAAAAAAGGAACACAAGCCCACAAAGATACAATAAAACGTGGGTTATGAAACAGCAATTTAGGACGTTTTAGTTTAAGAATAAGTGGTTTGTTTTTAAATTCATAGTATTTAAAAGCTGAATGGAAATGAGGTAAAGATATTTATTTTCTACTAAGAGGAACAGAAAATAAATACGCCACATCCATACCACATCCTTAAAAAGGTTTTTTGGAAGTTCTTGTGTTTAAGAAATTCCAGATTCTGTGATAATTTATTGATTCTAGAAGCAGACATAGATTAGCTCTGCATTGCCTCGAGACACCATATGCTTCTTAGGAAATGTACAGTTGTCCTAAATATTATTTACGATTGTTACTTTTTTGTATCAAAGTGCTCAAGAGCCCTAGTCAACCTAGTCCATACTGCAATCCATTTTGCTAAATGCTGAACAGAAGTATCTGTGTTAAGGAAGTACTCATCATAGTATTTTTATTCCCTTCCAAGTGCTCAGAAGAAATTAATTTCCTGCTCTTTGTACTGAAACGACATGGTTAATTCCTCCCCACCCAGAACTGCTTCTACAATAAGTAAGTTTGTTTTAAAAATACTTACAGTTCAAATCTACTCTAAATGTAATTAAAGAAATCGGTATTTTCCTGTTACTTTAAATCAATGAAAAATGCAGACTAACAAATAATTTCTGTGTGATCCAGTTCATAACTCTTATTGGATTTAGCAGCAGTGATTAAAAAGATTATACCTACTGGCAATTACCTCAACTGCCACAGCTAAATCCAACAGAGATCACCAAGCAAAGCTCTTCCCAGCTGCACTGCACAGCCTGGTGCATTACCAGAGTGAAACCAACTAATTCCTATGCAAAAGGCTGGGAAGAGCCATGCCCGAGGACTAGACACACCACCTGGTCTGCCACTTCCATTTTACAAGCAAGAACATCATTTACGGACAAGAACTTTCTCAACCACTCCAGCATGAACTGCCAGGGCTTGTGAGATTGTTAGATGACAAAGACGACGCTTTTTCTATCTTTCTTCTTCTTTAAAAAAACCTCTTCTTGAAGTCACCACCACTATAGCATGTCAAAGTGCAATATACACATACATACACACACACAGAACTGATTCAGTCTTCCCACAAATAACAGTGTTAAAAGACAATGTGCCTCACATAACACATTCCAACCAAAACTTCAGGCTGCATTTGTACTTATGAGTGGTAAACAGTTTTTTTCTGAAAATAACAAAAACAAAAGGATGAAATCTTACTGCCACTGACCTCACTGGAGCAAGGTTTCATCAGAAGCGAACAAGTATTTCATGGCATTCAATATTGACAGAAGTTCAATTTCAGAACTAGTTAAACTTTTCATATTAGTCATAAATAGTAAGCTATCTTTTAAACAGACTGTGCAACCTAAAACTACTCTGCTAAGGGGAAAAATAGCAGAGAAAGATCATGACTACTTTGTAAAGTTAATTTCTCCAGAAGTATGAGTTTTAACTACCCTTTTCCAAGATAAACTCATAAAGTACAACATATGAAAGAATGAATCTTAAAACGGATAAATTTTTCACTATTCCTGGATCCTGACACAATGTGTTTATCTGCTGAGTTTATCTGTTGAATTTAGATGCTTAAATGTATTCCAAATCAAATTTTCTCTAATTCACAACATAAATCACGTTCTAAATTCTGTGTATACCATCCACCATTCATAAGCAACTTCAGGTCAACTTCAAAATGAAACACTGTGAACCCTTTACAAAACACCATTTTTACAGAACTGAAGTACCAGTTCACAAGTACAAGGGAAAGAGATTTAACAGAACAAAACAAAACAAAACAAAAAAAAGGGGGACAAAATAAAAATAAGAAGAAACAAAGGAAAGAAATCAAAATAAAATAAAAACAGAGACAGGGCGTCCATCTTCAGCAGGCCAGACTTCGATCTCATTTCCCCCATGAAGGTTTCACTTGGCGGCAGGTTTAGTGGCATGGCAAACAATGCCTAACTCAGGCAAGTGTAACAGGTCTGCCTTGGCCAGTCTAGTCATCTAATAATGCACAAATATCACACAGAGAAAACATACAAAACCAAATTAATAGTCAAAATCCATCTACCAGATAATGTGGACATAAAATTTAGAATGATTAGGGTGGCATCTTTATCTTTCAACCTTTGTGTTCTCAAAGAATAATGTTTAAAGAAAAACCTACCCATTCTCACACACGTAAGTCATATTGTGACAGCTTAATAATGTTACTTGATTTACAGTTACATTTTTGCCCAATTGTTTATCAAATGTCACAAAACTAACATTGTTTTCATTGTGATTACCTCCTCATACTCCCTTGATTTACCACTGTTTAAATACACTTCAAATTTCAGATTTTATTCTGAATTTTAAAACCAGGTTTTCAGAGTTCCCTTTTACCTCTTCCCTATGCTCAATCTGGCACACGAAATGTTTTATTACTGGCACCACTGGCCAAGGATATAATTTTAGCTCCTGGTAGAATACAGCCATCACTACTTTCAAAGCCCATGATGCACTCCACTGGCTATTACTCATCACATGATACATAGTGAATCAAAAATCTTATGCTGTGCTCTCCAAAGCCATACTTACTCCACACAATAAATTCCTCAGAAAGTTAAACCTATATAAATTCACGTTTAAAATTAGTGATTCTATTATAAAGTTACATGGAAACACCATTTTGACATTAAAAAAAATCTGACCTCACAACTTGATCACTTGTTCACCTAGTTATGCATACATCTCTGTGGGTCCAGAATCATTCTGAACAGTGTCAATTTTTTTACAATACATTTTCTCAGGAATGTCTAACAAGTCAGCTAGAAATGTGGTTGGAACAAGATTTGTCAGAACTTTGATTTTATTCTCTTTCCATTCATTGCCTACTATCAAGAGACAGAGGAAAACATAGCTTTACCTGCCTGTTGGCATATCACGTCAGGCAGTGATCTCATCACAAGAAAACCACCAGGAAGTGTTGTTCATTCATTAGGCGGCAATCTTCCCTCTCTGGCAGTACTGAACCAGTGTTAAGGTCTTTTCGATGAAATGTAAAACTAAGATCCTGAATAATTTGTAGTCAATTATTTAGGGGAAATTTTTCAATAATAAGGACTCTGGTTCCATCAGCCTCTACAGAGCTTCAAGTGGACACAGCAATATCCTCTTTGTGTTTTAAGAACAAGTTCAAAAAATAAAACCAAAAAGCTCCCAAAACAAGGTAGGAAAGCAACTAAAAATCTAAGCTTCACAAAGACAAATATACATGCCATATGACCCTATTAAGAAGGCTACCAGGATAGACAGTATATTGGAGGTTTAATATAGCCTTTACTGAAAGTACTTATTGAGTCTACGAAGTTTTGTAAACTTGTCAGAGTTTGCTAGGAACATCCCAGACCACTACGATAGCAACGCTAAATCTCATACTATCCAGATGCCATGGCAAGCATGCAAAAAAAATGTATTCTGGGACCATTGTTAACAAACTCCAAGAAGTCAACAGTATTTACTGAACCAAAACCTGACTCCTTCAGTTAGAAAAGTTATGTCAATAGGAGGTATTTCTGGACTTTTATGGTCCAGAAATGGTTTATAGTTCAATCACTCTAAATATTGCTGTTCATGGCAAAACAGCTACCATGTTCAACGTGAAGTTAGGCTGAGTCCACTAGCTGGAATGTTTCTACTGTGAAGAGTCAAAAAGTCCAAAACCAAACAGGCAGATGCTCAGTTCCACAATGATCCCAATGAAGTCAATGGCGCCCTGCCTAACTCCACATGCCTACCATAGGACCATGTTTCATGTAACTATATTCTGATCTGGGATATTATACAAACAATACAAATTACCTTGTATTCAACATACCTGTAAATATATGACCTCAAAGCTAGTTAAGGGAACACTTGTAAATATAGTATTCAGCAAGCATTTTATTCTACTAAGAGTTTTAAAAACATTTTATGGTGAAAGCATTCTGTACAGATCACTGCATTTTTAAAGAGATATCTAAAACCGAAAAAGGAGTACCAGCATATGTAAGAAAACCTTTTTGTGTCTCACAAAGTAATATTTTCCACAATAACAAGAAAGGAAAAACGATTTATTTTTTATTAAACGAGCAGGTGAACATTTATATTCAAACAGTAATCATCAATATGAATACTAAGTATTTTAGATTAGAGCAATCTAAAATGGCTAAACGCATATACTTTATGCCTACAAAACAAAATAGGGATTCAGTCTAAAAAAAAAGAAAAGTAAAAAGGATCTGAAAAAAATAAACTAAAAAAAAAAAAAGAAAAACCAAACAAACCAAAAAAACCCCAAACAAACCAAAAAACAAAACACCACACCAAAGGTGATACATAAAGATCCAAACTGCAATTTACTGGTGCAAGAAAATTGCCTATCTTCTCAGTGCTCCATTGACTTCAGTGAGAACTCTGTGTGACAATAAGCTTGCCAACACAAACCATATTGAAGCAAATTATTTAACCTTCTTTTCCCTCAAAATATGTAATAAATTGAATTATCCTAACTTAAATCAACTATCTTTAATATGAAATTGCAATTAAATCTATAGAATTCCGTATCTCTGTTTCATTTTCAATTTTGTTTCAAGACTTTTTTTCAAAAAGTAATGAAATAAAACAGCAATAGAGCACCACCTCTTTACATGGAAAGCTTAAAACAATTAGCAGACTTGACAAAGAACAACATTTCAGAAAACGTCTAAAATACCAACCTTCTGCGCAGGGCACAACTATCAAAGCTCTGTCAATAAAAACCGTGTTAGTTAGATGCTGGGCCACACCAACACTCGATGCTTCACGAAACTTAATATAACATACTTTGGAGGAAAAAGCAAGAGGTGCGTTGCTGCAAGATAAAAGGGAAAAAAGAAAAACACAGTTAGTTACATTAAATAATTTCATGTTTGTATTTTTAACTATTACTCCTTAATAAAAAAATTGGGTTTAGAGCTCCTAGAATAGTTGGCCAAAAGGCAGGAGTATAGAAATTTACTGATTTGCCTACTTTACTGTGTCACTGAAAAAAGTACAGCATAGCACCTCCTCCTTCTTAATGGAAACTTACAGAAAAGCCAAAATCCCAAACTAACAAGGCTAATTTTCATTCATAATCTTGCTAAATAATATTGAGTAGCACATTCAAAATTATTACAAATTCCTTTTTATCATCTACTTTGGTCTGGCATAGTGTAGTGAGGAGGAGCTCACTATTTGGCTGGAAAAAAATCTGTGATTTGCTTTACCAACAGAGATGTCAGAAACACATAAACAGTCATTTTGATCAAAACCAAAGAAGTCTGCCTTAAAAAAACATACTGCCTTGTCAAGGCTTGTAACCTTTACATAAGCAGCTTATTTCTTCATATGAAGAAAGTCCAGTGAAATCTCCAAAGAGAGAATGTAATAAATAAGATACTGATGGAACATTAGCAGTTTTGATTTGAAAATACCATCTGTCTTCTAGAAAAGCAGTAACTCATGGAAAATAAGTTCTATAAACTGGTTCATCTAACCCTCCCTCAACTGAAATGGAAACACCTCGCAACTTTCTGGAAGTACAAGAAGCAGTTCAAGTTTAAGTCAACCCATCTTTTAGTTCCTCAAATTCCAAGCAGGTACTCCCAAAGTTCTTGTATGGAATAAATTAGATTTTAGTATTTAAATACAAGCTCAGAAGTTTTAGACAAATTATTTCATCATATTAACTGCATAAATGAACCAAGAACTTAGTCTGAGATAGGCAGACTGGTATGTTTCTGTTTACCAGAAAGGTAACACCTAAGCATCTACAGAGCCAGCCAACTTCTGCATGGCATGCAGAAACACTTTATGATGGAAAATTCTGTGAAAACAGATACACTGAAGAAGCAAAAATAAACAGGGAGTAGGGGAGACATAAATACAAGTCAACCTTACACAATTTAGAAAAACATTGCAATATGGTTACATTTCTTCTGCCGGTTTATTTTGCTGGTGGTGGCCAATATTTTCACAGTTTCACGTTTCCATGTTCAGGAAGGAAATAACTGTCTAGAATGGCTTCTGAGAGACCCGTAAGGTCTTGGTTAAAAACAGTTTCCAACAGCAAAAGTGGCAGCAGGCCATGACTTTCTGAGCAGAAATGTTCACACACAACTTTTAATCTTACCTATTCTTAAAGCCAGACTTCACTCACTGGAAAGATACTTCTTTATATGACCACAAGGGGTTTTGTTTCTTTTGGTTTGTCAGTGGGAGGGTGGAAGGGGGACGTGTGGGAGGAGAGGGCGTTTTGATACTGTTGTTGCCTAGGGCTTGGCTGAAGGCTCCACTGACAATCCTGTGGTCCAGACTGTTGAGACTTGAAACATCTTCTGGTTTTTGTTTGGGGTTTTGGGTTTTTTTTTGTTTGTTTGTTTTTGTGGGGTTTGTTGGTTTTATTTCTTTTAAACTTTTGTTTGTTTTCATTACTAGCTCAAAACCATAATACTGTTCCAGGCAATTCCAGTACCCATGAATAATACTTGTAAATTTCAACATCTATAAAGCCAGCTCTGACAAGTGAATTTTTCATAGTATTTCTCTCCCTGCATTTCCTGGATTTCAATCACAAAAGCTATGTGAAAAGTATGTTAAAAAAATATTAACATCAGAACAGTGCTGCAAACAAGGCTGTAAAAAAAAGTCTTGATACAAAGTCCATTATCAACGGAACTGGAAGTTCACATCCATTAAAAATAAACATACCCAGCAAAGGCAACAGGATTACAAATCTCTTCTACAATAAATTCTTTAACATTAATACCCTTTTTATATATATATGAAATGATGCATACAGAAAAGAACACAACTTCACTCTGCTCCGAAAACACACGCTTGACTAGTAAGTTATTTTGTGTGTCAGCTGCATATCTGCAACACAGAATTAGAGAGAAAACAGGTTGCATTTCTAGACAATGCAACATAACTATTTCAGCTCATTGCTTAATATATTCAAAAAGATAGGATAATACTCTTTTTAACACTACATCATATATTATTCTTTAAACAAGAATTGTTGGCTTTATTTTTTTTAATGATGTATTTCTATACAAAGAATAGTAAATGGAGTTCCAATCTCAGTGAAAGCTTCAATTAACTTAGGGAACATAAACACTCTCAAATGACTGAAAGCTGCTAAGTCACCTTCCTCTTATTCCTCAGCATGAAATAAACTTAAAAAAGCATATTAATGTTTCTCATTTAGCAGTCAATATCCATGACACCTGCACTTCACTATTTCAACTTACTGAATTACATTTTTCATCTAGAAACTGGACTGAAAGGTTGAGTTTCTACTGTTCCATGAAGGTAACAAAATTAATGCTCTACAACACACCAGAAGTTTGGATTTCTTACAGAATCGACTTCAAAGGTAAGATGAGATGAGACAATTTTTTGGCTGATTTTAATTCTAATGTAAAAAACAAATTTCCCTTTTAATTGAATTAATAGATTTTTTAAAATCTAGGCCTTAGATCATTAACTACTTAAGGAAAAAACAGTAGCAGAAAATAATTTTAACAAATTGCAGACATCTATTTTACCATCTTTTTGCTTGAGACAGCTTTGCTTCCTGTGCACTTGTCAATGAAACGTTTTTTTTTATTTACCATAATATTATTTAAATGTATTTTCAGCAGATGAACAGGAAACATGTCTGTCTTTGTTTCACAAGGGCATTAGAGTAAATAATTTTTTCCAAGGTAATAATTTGAAAGTCAGTTCATATGTCCAAGACCATTAGGCAAGGAAAATACTATTTCTAAAAGATATGCATAAAAAACTATAAATAAAAACAAGAGTAAAATAAGTAATCGCAAACCTGCATCTTACCTCTGAAAACCAAATTAATCATTTAGAACTGATGTTTACAGAATTATAACCTTGACATTTCCGGGTCAAAGTCTACTACGGTACTGGATTTTAATATTTTATGTGTATGCACACACTGGCAAAATTTTATACGTAGGCACAAATATTATTTGCATGTAAAGAAAGTATCTATTTGCCTTAAAGTCTGTTATATAACTTAGTGAAAAATACAGCATCCGCTATAACAAAAAATATATTCAGCCAGGAGAAAACTCAAACGTATTAAGAAGCAAGTGTAGAATAAATCCAAAGTAAAACCCTAGAAAGCATGTAAAAATCACCATAGATCTATTAAGGAGTCTTTAAAACTCAGTAAGGCCATTTTAAGCATATCTTTAAATAAAGGGATTCCTATTACTTATACTTTTTATATATATATTAAATCATATGTAAATATTCCAAATGATCATCACTCAAATCCACTCAGATGTAATGTAATAACAGATAATAATAGATAAATATCAACTTTTTCTGCAATTTAGTTCTTAAAATCAGTATTTTATTCAGCTGAACACTTCTTTGTATTAGAAGTGAAGTATCTGCATGTGAATGCCTCCTTCCCCTTTCTGCTATGCCTATTTTTCGTAAGAAAAAGATAAATGGTTTTGAAGGAACATGCCTGCCACTCACTTCCTAGTAAAACAGATATATTAAGGAAAAAAACCCAAAAATCTTTGTTTCCTTCCCTTTCTGTTGAACATCACCTGCTTGAAGAAACAATATTGTTACTTTGTGAACATCAGAATCCCGCATCAGAGTGCATCCCTCGCATGCAGCTGACACGACAACAGCTACAGCGTGGAGAAACGTGTAATGTCCGTAATTAACTGTAATTTTCTGCACACCTCTTGTCAGGGACATCTCAAGACAGGGCAGGTTCCGACTCTCTGTGAACAGCTCTTTCGGCTTCTGTTCGAGCGGCCTTTTCTCAAAGAACAGGGCCCTTCGAACACGGCGAGGGAAAAAAAAAGGGGGTGGGAGGCGGGGTGGTGGAGGGGAATTGAAATAAGTAAGAATAAAA